GAGTGTGTAAGACGTGGTTGAAGCTTTATGTGATCTTAAAAATGAATACATAAAATTTTCAGAGGCGATAGCAGAAACTCAAGCTGCTATTGAACCTTTACAACAAAAGCAAACCTTCCTAGTATTGTTGGTGCAGTCAATGAAACTCATCCACATTATAGGGCCATAGACAGTTCTTTATTGAATTGTACGTCATCTGCGTCCCTTGTAGTCTCAGCAAATGGTCTCTGTAGCCAGGGATCAATGGGATAAGCACTGTCACCTACTAAATATGGACCAACGTCAGAGTTCTCTATTCTGATGAAAGGGCCTTGTAAAATTTGGCCTCTCTCAGCCCTCTCAAATACATTTGAATTTCTCAGAACACGAGCATCATGTGTAGAACCGGAATATCCTGCTGCAAAATCAAGAAATAATTGCCTGCTGTCAGCTATGGCCTGAATGGCAAAGCCATGCTGTGTATACCTGCTGAAATAGTGAACAGTGCTGTCAACTGCACGAGTTGTAATGGAGTGTGCTTTCAGAACCCTAAAATGTCAGCTCAGTTTAGCTAAGCGCCTCAACAGTGAGCTGAGATTCTCGATCAGACGTGCTCTTGATCAGATATACAGCTGGATGTGCAGTACTTATAAGTTTTGTATAAGATTTGGGAATGATTGGGGTGATGACGATAATGATGGAGAGAATGATGGAAATAATGCCTGTAATGACATGATTGGAGATGGAGATGGAGATGATCTCGGAGATTTCTTAAATGAATACCTCGCCAGTTTATGAACACCTAGTTCTGAGACATTTCAACCAAAACTTAACTTAAATTTCTTAAACCTATATGCGAAGTAGACTATAGAACGTTTAAAAGGCATAGTACAGTTTATCACAAATATGAATTTTTCTTTGATTACAAACTGGCCCAATCAATTTGATAGTACATAGAGTACATGTACATGTATTGCAAACAACATCAATAAAGTGTTTTGTTGTTGCATGTAACAAATAGAATGTAGCTTTTTTGCATTAACATGAACAAGGAATAATAAAAATAGCTGAATGATCATAACTGTAAAGGATATCAGTTCTGGTCATGATATCTGTAGTTAGAAATTTATTCTTACCAGTTGTCTGAAGCAATTGTTCACTATCTGTAGAACATTAATGGTTGTAAATAAAACAAGAAGTCCCAAGTCTCAGGTCTGATAAATCAGGCTTTGATCCACCCTGTCCTTCAAAGACCATTTCCATGAACTTGGTAATAAACGTGCTGCATTGTTTTCAATACTTCTGTAACCTCTTAACTTTGCTTCTAGATTCCCTGCATCAAAGTTCTCATCTCATCATCTGAATCTTCTTCCTCAATGACCTTTCGTTTTTCTTCCTTTTCCTGTCTTTTTCCCAGCAGTACGCTCATCAGGAGATGGAGTGAAGTCCCCATTCTCTTTGTCATTAGTACCCACTCTGCTTGTGCTTGACAAGCACATCAGTGACTCATTTGGCTATCGCCTTGTGTGCTACTTTTTTGCTCTTAGCACATTTTGATGTTATCTGTGACCTATTACTGAACAGGTGCATGGCAACATGGGATCTATTTGTTAAACGATACATTGTACAGAAATTGTCTGATTTTAACAGAAACTGTTAAATTTCCAAATGCCCTCCCCCTAGGGTTTGAATGCCCTAAGTACAGTGTGGTAGAAATTATATGGTGTTTGTTGTATGGTCATTGACAGCCATGGTCTTGCAGTCTAAACAGTATGAGTATAAAATCTACCAGCTAACAACCAAGTCGGCTGTTAAACCAAGTGATTACGTTAAGTGGGCTGACAGATGTTTCACTTGGAAAACATCCTCCTAGGAAAGCAAATCAGTGAAAGGGTGCAATTGTTTGTTGTCCCTATTCCTGAATTACCAGCCATAATTGAGTCAACATTACAAAACACAAGACACCACAGGTTGCTGAAAAAGTCTCTCAGCTGGAATGATTGGTGGGCATGTGAATGTTAATTACTTGAAAGGATTGATTATTTTGTGTAAGATTCACTATGACATGGCTATCCGGGTCAATATTTTGCCTGGTGATTTCAAAAATTATCCCAGGGTGGAAAAGGAGTCCCACACTGGCTGATCAAGTATAATTATGAGTTATTATAGCTTAAGCAATACTGTGAAAGTTAATTAGTGAGGAAAAGTGGACACCATAGAAAGCCATCAAAGCCATAATGTCTACAATTATATACACCATAAATACTCACAATTGAGTACTAATGAATCAATTAGTGATTCTGAAAACCCATGAGTGCTTACAGAAGTAGAAACTGAAAATTGTCCTTGATCAAATTGACCCTCCAAATCCACAAGGGCATCTCTAAGTATCTATCTGGATTCAGGAGAGGTGACCCTTTTTAGAGAAGGCTGAAATTCTTTGCTAGTGCTATAAGTCATTATTACTCTGGCCATGAGTCTCAATTTCCACCCTTTTCACTTGATCTCTGGTCATTTGGCACTCTTTTGGAAAAAAAGGTGCTGTGTGCTCTAGAGGTTTCCCTTTCATTTCTTCTGATGAAATAAAACTAAGAACTTTCTGATGGGGAAATTCAGGGAGACCGTCATCTGTGTGTGCTTTATGGAATAAAGCACACAAGCTGATGGAATATTTTCAACAATGCCATTGATCAGGGATGAAACTCTGTCATTGGTAAGCTGCCTATTCCGCAGTTTCCTTGGGTCAAACTGGTTCTTTAAATTTGAGTTGACCCTGTGATCTCTGGTGCACTCCTTGTCTTTTTGTCTTTATGGAAGACAAGTTTTGTTATCTGATCTGGCTCTACATCTTTTTAAGTTCCTTTATTCCATCCCTTTGGACCACTTGTGCATGCGGGAAAGATGTATGCTTTCTTGTATGCAAAGTTTGACTTTGTACATCAAAGTGATAACATGGTTGTAGAATTCAGTGGTACCAGCCATACATGTGCACCACAAAGTTACAATTTTACAGTCATTCTTCATGCCCTCGAAACACCCAGACCTTGTGTGGATCTTCGTGGATTTTTTGTGAAGACACACGGCCTTTTATAAACATGTGCTTGCTGTCAACAGGGCATTTTGTAAACAACACTGTGTCCACAAAGCCACTCATCCAATAAGAGTAAGCTTCCTGGTCTTTGTATTTTCCAATATATTCCACATCAACAGCTTTTGCCCTCAAAATGTAACTGAACAATTTACCATCAACCTCTGGCCATTACTTCACGTCAGCAATCAAAGCTTCATGTGGTATATTGTTTGGATCGGTTTTTATTCCATTTAAAGTCAACCTGCGGTGATATTCTTCCATTATCTGCTGATATATGCGTCGTTGTGAAAACTTCACCAGCTCTTTAAGTTCATACGCACCAAATGCTCTGGCAACAAGCTCAGGCTTTTGGCCGGTTTTCTTGAGTCCTCTTAGTGACAGAGAATCCTTGAGCGATAAAACGATCCACCCGAGGAAGTCCTCATATTGAAGAACTTCCTCTGCTTGTCAAGGCATCAAAAATGATCTTTTACCTGAACCAAAGTTAAAACGACAAAACTGTAAGAGGATTTAATAAGGATAGTCTCACCCAGAAGGATTTTCGATTATGATATATCTTCACAGATACGGCATGCATGAGTCAGCCATTTGCAATTTATGCCCTGCTGTGTGCTTGCCCCAGTAGTTTTGCACCCTCGGCAAGATGGCGTGTTAACCTTGAAAGGGTCTATTGTTTGAGCATTAAAAAATAATCAATCAAACACAACTACTGGGAATTTATTTGATCACGAACCTACAAATTTCATTTACATATTCAGAATAGTCTCTACTTTGCCTTTGAGTAAAAGGCAGACACCAGTCTTAAGTGGACAGATTCAAAGATGCAGTTGTTGTGAAAAGTTGAAGTAAGTAAGTAACTTTAGGTACTTATCACAAAATTGAGCATGAGAGCTCTTTTAAATGTAAATGTGCATAAAAAATATAAAATAAGATGTATTATTAAATTAAGAGAAGTATTAAATATAAAAACGACAATAAAAAAGATAGCTTAAGTGTATGGCAGTTACAATCAGTCATCAGTGAAACAGTTATTTTTTGTAGTTGACTTTTAAAGGATGAGAGAGTGTCGGATTGTCTAATGGCGTCAAGAAGTTTGTTCCATAACTTGGTGGCAATGAACAAAAACGAATGATGTAGATATGCAGACTTAAAGTTAGGTAATACAAGTTTAAGGCTACCTCTAAGATTGTAATTGTTACCACGAAACTTGAACATGTCATTTTTTATCAGGTGCTGTGCTTTGACTGTATAATTGATTGACATCAATTTCTCAAAAGGAAAATCAATCAGTGAGCAATAAAATAACTGTTCCATGCTGAAACTGAAAGGATATCAACAAGGAACCCAAGAGTGACCAATTTATTTAATTTACAATCTTTTTTGAGCACATTCTATGAAACCAGAAGTTACAGAAGTTCATTATACCAAAGGTCATGATTGGATACTCTGAATAGACACCATGGTGGGTTACTTGACCACATTCATATTGCCTAAACCAATGTCTTTAGTTATTGTGCTTTTACAGTACTTTGATAAGGTACATGTAGAAACTACAAACTTTGCAAT